TTTAGTCTTAAAAAGGTTTTAATTGTTTGTATTAATCATCATAGTTTATTTTTCTAACATAGAGAACGAAACGTTTAAGATGCCGAAAAAATGCATCTGTTAATTAATCATTCTAATATTGGAAAATCTATTTATCTTTACTGCGATATTAATTAAATGATTGATTTTCTCAGGATGAAGATTTTGATAGCAACTTTTCTTTTCGGACTCGCATCCGCCAGCTTCTACCAAGGTAGATATACATTTAGCATTTGCTTCAAAATTTTGTAATTTCAAATTAAAAGTACAATTACTATGAAGTATCTAAAGTAAAATATTTGTTTAAATAATCATATCATAATTTTAGTTTATAAATCGTCACTGAATCTATTAATTAAGCGCCATTGATTGTATCACCTGATGGGGATAAATAAGAGAGCTCCATAATATAATAGATACCTATTTGTTTTGAATGAAAGATTAAACAAATCTTTACACATATAGAAAACATCGGTAAAAATAACATACTAGACAAATTGCATTTCAGTTTCATTTATGATTTATACTAAAAAACATGTTGTTTATTTCTTGCAGTGCTTGACCATGCCGCTGACCAGGCTGTTTTGGAGTTTATGGTTGGAATGGAAAAAGTTCCTTCCCTGAAACAAGTTGTAGGATACGATCTTGGCGTGAATGTCGATGAGTAAGGCATTCTTAATATATAAGAATAATTTAAACGTGCAAGAGATTAGTGGAATTTACAGGCCGTTTACAATCTTCAGAACATGCTGTCGCATGGAACTAAAGAATTATCCGTAAAACTTGGGTCATATTAGTACAAATCTGTTAATGGAAAAATTATGATGTTAACAAAAGTGAAAAACTTGAACTGTTTCTTCTTAAACTTACTTGTAGTGTAAATACATTTCATTTCTCACACAGAATGGTGTTTAGAAAAATTGAAGCGATTCTTTCATTTAATTAATGAATAATTATGTTAAATAATTTCATAAAATGAATCGATAAAACTATTATTGCTATATTCTTCGGTTGTTGTTTAGGTACGGTGAATTACTAAAATGAGAAATGCATACAATGCTAATTTCTCCTGTTTACAATAATGTACTTAAGTGGTATACTAAAATAAACTGGAAAAAAGGTACACTGAAATTAACAGAATCCAAATTATATTGGAGAAAGCAAACAAATGAAAAGAGACTGCGGAACTTGAACTAAGGACCTCTGGCTAATACAGACACTGTTCTACTACTGAGCTATCCAAATGTACAAGCTCTCTGAAACTGAAAGAACAAGTATTTAAAGGTGTAAATTTCCCTTAAGCAGATTTTTCTCTAAGCTGCGCGGCTACGCAGCCGCACAATAACCAATCAAGTTCCGCGCACTTCATTATTCCAGCCGCGCACCTCCTCAGTAATGGTGAGAAGTCTCAACACGTTGCCAGCCTTAATGACCATGGCAGTCGATAGGCCCAAAGCCCAAATAACTAACTGGTAGCATTGCAAAGTGGCCTAATGATCCAATAGGGTCGATGGTCTAAAAATACCCATCCCTAAGAAAAACTGGTAGCACACATCCGCACATTGCCTTGATACATGAAAAAATTCATTCCGCACATGGATTGAAAAATTAGAGAGAACATTGCTCCTAAAGATATTCAGGGACAGGGGTGCCCCTTCGTCCACCAATGAAATGATTGAAGAGAAAGCTAGAGTGTTCGATTTTAAAATACACGAGGGAAGTGGAGTAGTGTCAGCTGTAGATTTCAGAAGTGAAAAGGAGAATGAGAACGACGAGGAGTGGTCTGGAGACCAATCTGGGTCTCTTAGCAAAGTCCCTTTTCAAGGCTTTGGGAACTGTTAGTTGAAATTTCCTTTTGGATGTATTTCCTCTCTGATTCATATCTTCTTAGGTATGGTCGGTATTTACCTCTATTTTGATACTGACGGTAACTCACTTTCCAGGTAGTGAGTAGTACGTACCCTTTGTTAGGCAATATCCCTGTCTACGGTTGTAGACACTCCTAAGTATTTTTTCGCTTCTGTAATAGTCACAATACCTAGAATGTGGTTATCACTCTTCTCATAGAGAACACAAGGTTTGTGATGAGCCTATTTACAATATGTCGCCGTCACTGATCACTTGTGACGTTTTTTTACTACGAATATGATTACCATATTACGTCATGATCAGGCAAACCCAAACAAAATATACGTACTAGGATAGTTCAGTGGTAGAGTACTGGTCCTGTTAGATAGAGGTCTTGGGTTTAAGTGGCAGCATCGACGTTTCTTTTCACTTATCGATTTTATATTTTGCGTTTGAAGCAAATGTTATCAAAATTATCAAAAATTCCGAATTATTTCAGCCAAAGACTATGGAACATTGTTTTTCACAGAGAAGTATTAGACATAATTAAACAGTTAGAGAAATAGTTTATATATATATATATATAT